AAAAACTTAACCAAGTGCGTAAATCTCAGAAGGTCGACCAGAACGTTGTGGGTATCTTTCAGTGAAAAATCTTCAGAACGAAATTTTTTAAACTAATTCTGACACGTGCGTTCTGTTAAACAATCGACACCATAAACTTCTCGTATCTCTTTGCGAGCCTCAGTCGCATTCTTGCCTTTATGAAAATAAAAAAGTAAAATGTGTCGAAAATGCTTATTTTTGCACTCCATGATAAGACTGACCGTGAACTGACAGTTATAAACGAAATTACACGGAATTTCACGAAATAGCAACCTAAAGGTATCGACTACCACATCTGAAAAGAAAAAAATTCTAACATTGACAAAAGAATAACTAAACTAAGCATAACATTATTTACCGATGCAAACCGAAATTACTTTCTTGCCAACCCAATATTTACGCCTGAATTAACTTTCACTGGATATTACAAATTGTACATCTGTCATAGTGTGCAATGAGCAGGGTATCACAAAGAAAACCGTAAGAAATCGGCTAGAATTTAACGATCGTTGAGAATCGTCAGATAATCGTTTAGCCTCGGTCGTGTGAGCCTCGTTACATAAATCTAAGCTCGAGATACCAGAAAGAGAGTCCATAAATGTTTCTTCCTCTTCTTCCTCCACTTGCCTATTCCCCTTTCTGAAATCTGTATCTTCTCAATTTAATAAGTTCCTAATTCACTTAGGTGTCATTTAGGTAGAAATACCAAAGCGTAGTGTGGCTGGAATCTCGATTAGAATGGAAAGTGGCGAGTGGAGGATTCTCTAACGTATTCGATGCTCTAATAGAAGATCCATTACCTTTATCGTCGTTTCAACCTTCGACTCGAAGTCAAGCACTTTGTCGCTTCTTGCTCGGTTAGGCAAGGCACGAGAGTACAGGAGTGATTTTCTCAGAAATCCACGGGCAATTTCTTATCAGTAATTTGGTCAATTACCAGCCTCGATAATGTGCTAAGTAAAGGTTCTCGTTTACGGGCAGTGGTGTTTCTCTCTTCGTAGCAGGTGTACGAACGAGTGACTTTGTCTTACTTATCTGCTCGGAGACATTAAACGTGTAGAAGCAGCCATCCGATCAAGCTATTGCCTGATATAGGCTCCGTTCCCTCCATCCCTTCTACCGTACCCTAGAATTCCAGATATTTCCTCTTTTCACCAAAATGCCTCCGTGTGCTCTTGCTCACTGGCTATGGGATGCTTTCGATCCTTCATTTTAGAATTCCACTCCATCTCTAGTATTCCGTGGAATTCTTTTTCCAATTTTCCACCTGTTCCTGCCACGTTATTTATTTATTGCTCATTTTCTAAATAAGTCCGTAGTAGCAGGTCAAGATATTTCGATTTTCGAGTAAAATAGTGAAGCAAAGTAAGTTGGATTCCATTCTCAACCCTTTGCATTCGATGATTTTTTGGTTAAAAGAGAGTAAGAGTTCGTTTTGTCTGGCAGTCGCTTTGTTTCGTTTTGTTTTAAATGTTAAATAAAATTAAATTAATAAATTAAATTAAATTAAATGTTAAATAAAATTGAATATATGTCGCTAATGACCTTGTTGTCGATGCGACGTTAAGCCTTCAATTAAAAAAAAAATAAAAAAATAAAAATTGAATACTGAATATAGTATTAGGTGTGTTGGAATTAAATGACACAATTTTGAGAAAAATCAAATAACTTTCATCAAAAATCACGTAATTTTTTCCAAATTATTAACAGTAAACCACCGTTTTCCGCATTCAATGTTATCGTCTTAACCACACTTGTCATCCTTCATTTCCATATTTCGGTTGTCAATGTAACGTATTCTTTTCTCGCGTAAGCAGGTAAAACTTATGGGATAAAAAGAATTTGCGGATAATTTTTCCCATATTATTAACATTAACACTTTGCGGTCGACAGACTTCGACAGAGCAAATTTAGCGTTTCGCAGTTACTTTTCTGTACAGTATTTAGTCGATATATGGACATTAAAACGCACAGAATTTGTCGAAATTGATTTGTGTTTAATACTACTTCTAATACGTAAATATACAAAATTTTTTATTTCTCTAATTTCCTGTAGTTTTCTGTATTTTTCGACGAATGTCCCAGCTGCGGAGACGTCGACCGCGAAGTTAAACCGCGACCTAAATCATCTTTTAAAACTTTCATTAAAAATTCCGCATTCCACGTTATCGCCTTAACCATGCACTCGTCTTCGCGATTTTTCTTCCAATATATAATTATTTAACACTAGGTTTACAGACGCTATCTGCATACCTATTTCTAAGGACACCTGTCAAATTGACAGGTAAAGGAAACCACGTGCCTTTTTTTAACGATTAGTTTAATTTAAAAACAATTATATATTATATTAACCCTTCGCACTCGACGATTTTTTGGCTAAAGAAGGATAGGAGTTCAAAGATTTTCTGTTACAAAGCTGAGGATATTTTTCTGAGCAGGAATAAGAAATCGTGCGATAATTAACACGTAGAATTATTTGATTTCGATACCTCGCACACTGTTGCATTATCTGAAATTTGACGTATTTATGAATATGGAGCTTCGAAATTTTATCAAATGGCGACTGAAGGGCACCTCTCGAGTGCAAAGGGTTAACAGTCTTAATATTAGTTAACTAAATCTGTTACCATCGTATAATTGGAGCAACCCTTCCGTCAAATTGACGTTAATATAATTATTTATAATATGTCTCGTTATTCCATTTTGTTAAACCCTGCTTCTTTTCATTCGTCTATCTTTCGATCGTTTGGTGGGTTTAGTGTTAAAAACGAGATAGATTGTACGACTATGTACGTAACATTTGTGTACCCGTTCGAAGGAACGGTAAAAAGTACTTATAGAACGTGCTGTCATTTCGTCTCGCGCTGTAGACCCGTCTAAAATGGCGCTCTAGTCGGAAGCTTGACCGCTGGTCGGAAACAACGAGGAAAGGGATAAAAAAGGTTAAGATTTGATCGCATTAATACTCGAGTAGATAGGAGCATGAGAGGCAAGCGATCCGTGTCGATAGATCGGTATCGATTGGTCGTGAAGTCGACGGTGAGGCATCAAACAAAAGTGACGCCACTCGCTGGACTAACAGAAGAATTCGGCACTCGGGGTGGCTATCTCTTTACAATCTCTCGACCGACTG